GATAACAAAATAACGCTGAAAACCGATAAAAACCCTGAAAACCATACATTTCACACCTGAGCCTCAACTCTCACGGCCCGGTACCAAACAACTCACGGAACCGGGGGTTGGGGACCGCTGGTCTAAATGGATTGACTCCCTTTTAGAGCCGCCCTCGTGTGGCCATTAGAGGAACTGCATCCGTTTCATTTTTCAGCTCTTCAGGTTGCTGATTGTTTCTCAAAAAGGCGTCTGTGTATCACTGACAAGCATTCAAGAAAGAGCGGGGAAATTAGTTTTACAGCTTTAGCTTACTGCATTTTGAATTTAAGGTTTGAGCCTTTTCTTCCTTTTCCTGCTGTCCACGTTATAAGTAATTCTTAAAACTGAGTATCATCTCATTTTCTGGAGTCTAATATAATGAGGATATTATAATTGACTTTTTGTCTCTGTATCCCCGTATATCAGTTCTTTTTCACCTCATGGTTATACAGTGAAAAAGATCAGCTTCCAGCACACATGCCCCTCCCTCCCACTGGCATTTGCTTCCTCCGAAAGGCCATTACTTTTGTGCAAATGCAATTAAGGGCCAATGACTCCCCGAGGCTTGGCAGCGCGCAGCAGAGCAAAGAGGCTGCCGTAACTTAAGGAGCTATAATAACCACTATACTCCACCACCCATCCTAAGCCTCGGGCAGGATTTCTTGTGTTTTCCGCCACCAACACCAATTGTTCCCTCTGTTACCTTCACACAGGCAGCATCTCTGCATCGCGGCTTCCGTCTCAGCTGCAATAAAACAAAGAACAGGACGCGATTAACAATATAATGCAATAGACGTTTTCTTCTGCCAGCACCGTAACACATTTTTGGAGCACGAGTTATTGTGGACCTGCACACTCAAGTCAATTTAACAAACAGTGGTGTCATATTTATAAAGATTAGGTCCCTGACAAGCAACATATGAGAACAAGCAGATTTTCAGCAATGCTATAATCCCAAGGAAGACGCCTTGAATGGAAGGAGACAGGATTCAGTCGCGCCTTGCACCTGCTCAGGACACTTTTGCGACACCTTTAGGGGTTAATCACCATCAGTCATGTTAATTTTTCAAGCTGTGAACTTGAGACTTGGTTTACAGAGTTGCACAGGCTCAATTTTTAAACCCACAGAGTCTAATATAGTTGTTTGTAGTTATTTATTTACTCATGTACCCAATCCTGACTGCACAGATCGGCTGCTTGTTTCGTTTGTGGCTTTCCAAACACATGTGGCCAACAGGGAAGCTGCGTCCTCATGAGTTGAACGTTGTTTCTCTTCTTTGCTTTTTAAATTTTAATTTCAACCATTATAAATTCCAATACTGAGATATCAGCAAATAGTTAATATTATATCATAATATCGGGTCCCCTGCAGTAGCCAGGGCATGTCCTTTCACTCACACACTAAACAATTATGCAGGACGCCCCATCAGTTTGTGCGGCTTTGTCAAAATTAGAAGCAGTCTCAGAGTGATGCTCAAAAACGAGGTTGTTACTCGTAATGTAATTCCTTGTTTTGCAGTCTTAAAAGCTCAGTGAAAATCCCTCAGCTGCAGCAAGAACAGGAACTGGAACTGGAAAGCGAGATCATATTTTCCTTGTTCGTGGTCTCTCGACGCTCCTTTTCATGAATTTTAAATCTTCTCTTTTCCCTCAACCTTCAGCTGGTCTTGGCTGAAGGTTTTCTCTCCCCACACCTCGTTCTGTTCGGGGTTTCTTCCTGGTCAAAGGAAGTTCTTCTTCTCCACCATCACCGAGTGATTGTTAATACGGGTCCTCTGATCACTGGGATTTTATTTGTAATTTTGTTACAACATATAATGGCTGAGAAAGTATCTGTAGTATGTAAATAACATTGAATTGTCTAAGGATGGCTTCCTTTCAAGTTGTTATAGATTAATAAATGTATTATATCTCTATGTAACATCTACTTGTAAATAGGACTCAAACAAATGTTCTTAGAACAATTGACAGAACTGTACAAAAATGTAACAAAATATCACAACAAAGACGAGAAAGACTAAAAAGAACAAGACCTTAAACAGAATAAGCACAAGTACTTTGATTTGGAATGAAAGTATTTTATAAATAAAAAAAACAATGACGGCCAAATATTTAAAGGCAATTTATTCCAATGAGGAGAAGGATAGAAAACAGACATTAAAGAGGATTTGATCTTAGCATTTGATGAATCGGAATTTGAAGAAGGAGCAAAATATTGTTCTGGACTATAACGATATCATGAGTGCACATTTTAAACAGTGGCGTTAACGGCCTTTTTTATTTTTCCCTCGCTCTCAAAGAGCTCGGCAACAACTGCTTATTTTAAGAACCCTCATTCAAGTTCACAAGTGCTAACGGCTCTTTTAATTAAGATTTTAAATGTCAAATGTTATTGATTCGTAACAAAGCGAAACAAGGTCAGGAGCTAATTAAAATGTACTTGCTTCCAAGATGATTAAGGCTCTAAATGCTTTTTTTATAGTCCAGTGTTGCTGTCTGATGCTGGGACTCTTGGAGATTAATAGTATACACATTTTGAACACATTGTGATTCTTTTATTCAGGTGCATCCAGTCGTTTTCACAGATGTGTCACTAATGAAGTTGGATCACATCCATCTGAAGCAAATCCAGAGGTTTTTTTATGTTTGAATGGCAAAGATTTACTATCCAACACCGCCCTTATCTCCCAGTTGTTTGCCTGTATTGAAAGGAGATTATTGGTTAAGAGAGAGAGAGGGTGAGAAGTTCGACCATTCGGGCGGGGCTCAGAGTAGAGCCGCTGCTCCTCCACATTGAAAGCAGCCGGTTGAGGTGGTTCGGGCATCTGAGAAGGACGCCTCATGGGTGAGGTGTTCCGGGCATGTCCCACCGGGAGGAGGCCCCGGGACAGACCCATGACCCACTCTCGGCTGGCTTGGGAACGCCTTGGACAAGCTGGAGGAGGTGGCCGGGAAGAGGGAGGTCTGGGCTTCTCTGCTTGGGCTCTGCCCCATCAACCCGGCCCCGGATAAGCAGAAGAAGATGGATTATGGTTAAGAACTTAAGGTTCTCAATGAAGCCCCCAAACATCATCTTTACCTGCTTCTCTTCAGTGGTTTACTGTGAAAAGCAGTTTAATTTAAAGTTTCTCCTCATCTACAAGGTCTTGAAAAATCAGGCCCCATCTTAGCTCAATGACCTCATTGTACCATGTGAGCCCAGCAGAGCGCTTCACTCTCAGACTGGCTTACACTTGGAGTAGGATGAGAGGCGGAGCTTTCAGCTCCAGTTTGCAGTCAGGAGACAGACATACTAGTTTTTTAAGATTAGACTTGAAACCTTTTGATAAAGCGTAAATTCGGGCTGGATTAAAAAACGACCCTGAACTTTTCCCTTAGTTATGCTGCTGTCGGCTCAGGCTGCTGTGGGATTTAATGCGAGTACTGCTTCTCTGCTCACCACATGTGTATATACCACAGATGCCGCAGATAGCAGCGCCTCCCTGAGCTGGTTCTGTTAAATGGAGGTTTCTCCTTCCTGCCAGTGGTCGTGTGATTGTTGGAGTCTTTACTCTACAGTGTAGAGCACCTGGAGGTGACTGTAGTTTTGATTTGGCGCTATATAAATAAACCTCAACTGAATGGAAGAATTCTCTCAATTACCCTCAGTCACCTTCAGCTGTTCGATCTCATCATTACATGTCACAGCGATGTCGGGTGCTTTCTCCAGCAGTAAGAAAGCTCTACATAATTTACCAGGATTATTCAGACTTTTCTTTCTTTTCTTTTTTCCCCCTGAGCTGTCATCCACAGCTGTATCCTTCGACAGCCTCTGACTAATGTGTTTGCGCAGTTGACTCGCTTTCCAGCCAATTAATGATAGAGGAACGTCTTGATGCATTCTCAATCATCCAGGAAAATAAATCTCCAAAAGTTGATTCTGTTCATCTGGACGTAGCGTTTTCTGGGAGAAACGTTTCGTCACTCATCCAGGTGACTTCTTCAGTCTCAGCTGACTGCAGGTTTCCAATCTTATAAACAGTACATTTGCATAATGACTGAAACCAGCCCACTGAAAGAACAATGGGCTGTGAGGTCAGTTCCTTAATCATAATTATGCAAATTCTCATGACGATTGATCAACAACCACTGACCAAAACCCACTGATCAATGGCCATGAGTACCATTCACAGAGAGTTGGGGAATGGCTGTACCCTTAGTCAAGGAGGCCATTTACGTGAAAAGGGAAAGACCATCTCTGAATCGAGGAGGGGGCCTAAGGGTATATCTTTCGCCATCTTACAATGCTGTGATTGCAGCCATTCCCCAACTCTCTGTGAATGGTACTCATGGCCATTGATCAGTGGGTTTTGGTCAGTGGTTGTTGATCAATCGTCATGAGAATTTGCATAATTATGATTAAGGAACTGACCTCACAGCCCATTGTTCTTTCAGTGGGCTGGTTTCAGTCATTATGCAAATGTACTGTTTATAAGTTTGGGGAAACCTGCAGTCAGCTGAGACTGAAGAAGTCACCTGGATGAGTGACGAAACGTTTCTCCCAGAAAACGCTACGTCCAGATGAACAGAATCAACTTTTGGAGAATGATAGAGGAAGTGTGGGGAAGTGGGTTGAAGTCGGAGAACGAGCCTGTTTCCCCGCGTGGAGTAGTGCAGCTGCTAGCACCAGTTTCAGCCCAGTTTCCCGCTAAAGCTGCAGTTTTGCATGTCTCTCCCGCGTTAGCGTCTGGTTTGTTTGCCACATGTTGACGATCAGCAAACACTGATGAATAATCCATGAGCGTGTTACTTCACTGAGTGGAAACGCTCTTCCGCCCGGATGCTTTTTGTTTCAAAGACCTTTTGTTTGTGCAGTTCAGGTTTCCTGTTGTTTGTCTGCATGAGCTATGTGCTTACCGCTGCGTTTCTCCTTTGTGTCACACATCCACCCCACAATTTCTGCAAAATACATAAGCGCGTCGTTTAGTTCCTTATCTGCTTTTCCTTTTGTGCCCCGTCCCATCATATTGATCTTGTTGTGCATGGGTGGAAAAGCTGCTTTCGTTAGTGATCTGGCTTTTTCCACAATAATTGTTTCAGCTGTTTTTACTGCTGTTTTCTTTCATTTGACTTGCCTCCTAACGAAGCGCCAACAGCTAACCCTCATAGCCGATGTCTCGCCCCCCTCATGCAGCCATTTTTATGGGCCTGGTCTTTGCATTAAAAACTTTCCTGCCTCGCTCTCAGCCTTTCAGACGCACACAGAAGCAAAAGATGCTCACTGCAATTTTGCAATTAGCATAGAAATCAAATCAAAGGTAGTAAAATGTGTTTGCTTGTGTTAACTGGATTTACGCTGCACACAGTTCTCTCCCCACCTGGCTCGAGTAAACAACAGCTCTGCTATTCATCAGCGAAGCTTTGCCTCTATTGTCTTTATTAAGTTTGCCCCTCCCTCGTGTGCAGCCATTAGACAACTCACAATGAAGAGGTTATATTACCCGCTCACTTAATGGGATAAACCTGTGGAAATTTAGCAAACTTTGTGAAGTCCTGCACTTTTTATGCAGTTACAGCAGGAAGATTATCCAGATTTTGGGCTCGTTTCTGATCTAGACACTTCTGCATATTTGTCTCTGAAAGCTTTTGAAAAATCTGGGAAGAAATATCATAACTTCAAACTATGAATCCAAATGTGATCATCTGCAGAAACAAGAATAAACTGACTTCTTTTTTTCTCCCTCAGGCTATGATGAATGCCAGACCTCAGAGGATCCTGGACTCAGGATCGCTCACCCAGTCGGCCCCGGCCAGCCCCACCAGCAAGGGCACGCACATACACCAGGCTGGGTGAGGACGGAGCTCACACATGCATGAACGCCGTGACACACCGAAAACTCATTAAACGGAAACCCCGGAGCATTTGAATCATGTGTTAGGCAAAAAAAAGTTGCATTTAATCATCATGATGTGCGTCATTTGTAGCAGGCGAATGGGATTCTGGCCAAATGTTACTTTAAAATTTATATTGAATTATATTCATGGTGCATGAACCAGGATAAAATATAAAAGTCAAGCAAAATTAAGTGTAGATTCAGAAGAAAAATTATTATTAGCATTTTAAAATTGAAATATTATTCATGAGCTGTTTGATTTCACGATTGAATAATTTCCCAATTTGTTTGTTTGTGCGTCCAACACCCTTCTGTCATGGTGAATAGTTTTCTATGTGCATTAGAGGAAAGATTTCACCCTTTAACCTCGTCATGGTCATCGCTCGTCACGCCTCTGCAGCAAATCCAGAGCTGCTGGTACATTACACAACCTGAAAGTTTCCTTCTCACTACTTTAATGTGCACATCTGCAGTTTCGCCATTATCTCAAACCCGTGCAGAGAGCAAATCATCTGCTTCTGGATCAGACCAAAATTTCTCAGGAGCAGCAGCAGCTGGGTTTAACAGTACTGTCCAAGCCTGAAAAGTGTCTCATCAGGTCAGAAGAGCGAGGCCGTGTCCCGTGAGAGGCCCTGAGGTTCGACCATAACGTCCCGAGGTGTCTGAGGGATTTTTGGCTGCGTTAAGACAGCCTTCATTCATAGCCGGCTGTACTTGCAGGATTTGACTTTGTCCTCCGATACGATTCAAGTTTAAGAGTCGCATACTAGAGGAGATCCCCCATGCATTAAAGAAACAGATGTGCAAGTAGTGAGAGGAGGACTGCAGATGAGTGAAAAAGCAAAGAAATAGTATCTGTCCTTTAGACAACACAGAATAAGTGATGTTAGATTTAGCAGCTGCTAATTTAAAAATAAAAGCACATAAAATGTGCATTCGTAAACTGACCCCTTAATCCTCTTGTCCTCTTTTCCTTTACTTCAGTGGTTCTCCACCAATGCCCAGCACCAGCAGTTCCAGTCTGACCAACGATGTTCCCAAACCCCCCACCAGGGAGCAGCCGGCCACACGACCGCCTTACACCCCAACGCTGGGAGGACAGGCGCCCCACTCACACCAGTTTACCCGCACTCGCAAAATGTTCGACAAGGGACCCGAGCAGGTAGAGAAAGATGAAACCTGCCGTGCTGCTGCGAGTCACTCTTGTCCTCTCTCTCTGTTTCGTTTAAATCTTTAAATCACTTTTTTTTTCTTTTTGTGTTTTTCTTTAGGCAGCTGAAGACAGCGATGAACCAGGTGGTCACAGGAACTACATCAGTCCGGCCCTCCAGACAGGCTTGTGCGACTGGAGCGCCAAGTATTTTGCTCAGCCTGTCATGAAGGTCAGTGTCATCATCTGTGTTCCTCAGATGTCAAACTGGTCAGCTTGCTTACTCTCCCACAAAAGGCTCGCTCATCGCACATAGGCCTGCCACGATTAGTCGACTAGTCACGATTACGTCGACTATCAAAATCGTCGACGACTGATTTAATAGTCGACGC